GAGTTGGGCGGGGTTGGCACTAAAGTGGGCGGGGCTTAGATCAAAAATCTGTAACTTTGTTCAGAAACGTTCTGGGATGCGGCAAAACGGTGTTAAGGTGTAAAAGAACAAATGTGGTCAAATTCCATAGGTGGGCGGGTTGGGCACCAAATTGGGCGGGGTTGGCACTAAAGTGGGCGGGGCTTAGATCAAAAATCTATAACTTTGTTCAGAAACGTTCTGGGATGCGGCAAAAAGGTGTTAAGGTGTAAAAGAACAAATGTGGTCAAATCCCAAGGGTTGGCGGGGTGGGCACTAAATGTGGTCATCTCAGTAGTAGGAGAAGTCGGCACGTTTCAAAGCTGTTGTTCATGGCCACACACAGCCCGAGGTATTTCGACTACATGGACTGCAGAGAAATTTGATTTAGATACATCGGAGGACTCTTCATGGCCACACACTAGGGAAGAGGCTCAAATGACAAAGGTTTATAATGAAAATCAGAAGCTCATGTGGCTCCCTCCTTTATGGCTATAGCCCCCTGCGCACGCAATAGCGTGCGTAGCCGCCTGGTAAGAAGAAAAAGCAGAAATGTTCAACCTTCAGGAACTTCTACGCAGTCAAGCATCCCTGGAATTGCATGTTGCTCTTTGAGATAGCGGGCAAGTTGAATCTGGAACAAATGCGAACTTCTCCATTTGAAAAATTCGGAACTAAGCCTATTTCATAATGGCACAACTCGAACAGGGAAGGTGCCTTCATAAGCCCGACTATTAGGTCTTTCCGGGCGCACACCATAGGGGTGGCCCCTTTGGAAGATGACATTTCGACTATGTCCTCCTAATCTAAGTCGATTTCATCGATGATCAGCTTATACATCAGACCATAATCGATTACTTTTCGTCGAAATACGAAATACCATACGAAAGGGAAGTAATTCCCTTACGAATGGAGCAGCGGTAGGTGAAAATTTTCTGAATTATTTCAAGTTCATGAATTAGGGACCGCATGTACGGTGACCGGATGGGAGAACAATACTCCATGATCGGCCTGACGTAGATGTTGAAAAGTCGGAAGAGCAGCAAAGGATCACGCATTTTGAAAGATCTCAGTGTAAGGTTTGTCCTAGAACTGGCTCTAGCAGCAGCATCATGTACGAAGCTATCAAAATCGAGCTTATCTCTGTAAATAACTCCTAGGTCTCGAATCTGTGCGATGCGAGCAAGACTACCGCTACACATGGTAAAGGTTAAGTCTGGATGGTTTCTGCCTAATCCCATTATAGCAGTTTTTGTATAGAGACTTGAAGACCCCGTTCCTTAGACTAGCGCTCGGCGCTGTCAAAGGCAATCTGGAGTTTGTGACAATCATTAATTGTAAAGACTTTGGAGTCATCAGCATACAGTTTGCAGAACGCACCTGAAGAAATGGAATCGGCTAAGTCTTTGACATATGGAATCGGCTAAGTCTTTGACATATATAATAAACATGAGTGGCCCAATACAAGTGCCTTGGGGGACACCACTAGGTGTCAGATAACAATAAGAACGAGCCTGGTTTATGAGAACAGATTGAAGCCTGTCACTAAGAAAGGAGTGCAAAAATGGAGAGGGCAACCTTTGATACCATACGCTTCCAACTTTCTTAAAAGCAATGGGGTAGAGATAGTGTCAAAGGCTTTTGCATAGTCAATGAAGCAGGCTGAAACAAAATTTCCTTTGTCAATCTCCTTATGCCACAGCGGGACTGTAGAGATGAGGGCAGACAAGGTTGGTCTACGACTAAGAAACCCATGCTGGCTTTTGTGAAGTAAGTCTTTCTCCGTTAGAAAGCTATAGATTTTGACATTGAGTTTCGAATCCTTGATGCATTCGCTTATTTTGCTTTTTTATAAAAAGTGCCCTAGCGGTTGCGAATTGATGTTTTTTGGGCTCGATGCTGGGCATCTGCGGAGTTCTCTCTCATTTCAAGAACACTGAAAGGGTACTACAAGGAAAGTTTTCCTGCACTTAACCGGCCGAGTGAGAGTGAGGATTCATTCGAGCGAGGAGGAATTCTAAACGTTCGCTCAAAATGGGTTTCAGAAGCCTCAAGGAGAAAGGTTTTAAATGACTCATCAGATCAAACGCTCTTCAACACGTTATTAGCGAAATATTCAGGCCGAGGGTGGTGTCATCGTATTTGTCGAGGCTTCGTTCATGCAGTATAACGTGAGCACCATCTCGGAAGGATTGGGAGGTGATAGAGCTTCCTAAACGCACCTTCTAATGCTGCGTAGACAAGGCATATTATTCACTGCGAAGAAGATGATTACTTGAAAGACGATCACATTGATCTTCAGCGTTCGCCTGATGGTAACAGCGACGATGGACCCATAACTTCGCGAGAGGATCCTCGTGAGTCTGTGAGGATATAAAGGTTCCAAAGGTAAACGTAGTCTCCAACTTTGTTAACTGTCCCATGAGCTCGATTTCAAGGCGCTGGTAAAAGAGTCCATAGCCTTCTATGGTTTAAGTGCCAAAAGACGCCGCACTTACTCGTGCATGTAAACACGTTTGTATCATCACGACAGAGTGCCATCTACGGAAATTAAGTGCGAGAGATCAAGAGCTTTCGAATTAGTCTGTTATCGACAACTTACATGTCTTATGTGGTTGTAACTATCAGGTACAAAACAAGCAGACCGATCTTTCTGCCTATGGAGACTAGCAGATAAGTTGAAAGTATAAGTTATCATAAAATTAATATAGGAGGCCCATTGCATGACAGTCATTTCCACTGAAGTGCTCGTAGGGGACAACTTCAGCAGTTCGTGTGTGGATTCAATGTTTTGTATGCAGCCGTGGCATCAGGTCGGACCACGTTTACCACATGGAAGGGCTTTTTGAAAGAGCGCTTACCTCATGAATTAGCGAGTAATCATATGTTCTCGCAAATCGATAAACTATTATTCTAAAGTATTTCATCGATAATGTCAGTTAACTTGTACCACCGTTTCGAAAGTACGGATAGCATTCCTCGAGTGTGTGGGCCGTATCCCTTCCAGAGAGGGCTATGGTTAGATGAGTCATTCGACCGCCCTCTATCGTAAGCGTCGGGAGCGCCGACATTTTCGAAACACTCATCTTGAATGTTCTGGGTAGAGAGGCTTACCTACATAAATACATACATACATCCATCCATCCATACATACATACATACATACATACATACATACATACATACATACATACATACATACATAAATATATAAGTACTATTATATTATACTACATAGTACATTTATACATACAAAGTACATGCCTAAACTCCTATCTATGCTTACATATTTTACATGCTCTAGTAACAATTTCAAATGGACGTATTATAATATCTGACTCCTTCAACATAAGACTCCTTTAACAAAGACCTTTACTTGTTGTAGACCTTTAATAACAAAGCATCTACATTATATATTTGCAATGTTTCACTTGTACCATACTACTCTACTTGACTACTACTCATCTACTTGACTTGATTTTTCTTTCCTTTTCCGTTTAATCTTTCACACTTTCTCACATACAGACCGTATTTACCCATTCTTGTTTTGTCATCACTTAGTCACTGACGAGCCTCAGGCGATGACAGATTT